GAAAGAGACTGTTTCTTTTTAAACTTGTTGAAGGTGGTTTTTGTTTGATGATTATTTTTTTGGTCACCTTAGAAAAATGTCAAAAGCAGGTTTCTCTTCTGACAAATACAGCAGAAGAGACAGGCTGCCATAGAAAGCAACAGGTTTTAGGTGAGTTATTGTTACAATCACCTCTCACTTCATCCTGAAATCAAGACCTCCTTTCCAATTGCTCATAGCTTTGCTAAGTTTAAACATGTAAACCTGTGGTGATTTCTTTTTTTCTCCAGCCCCGTATTTGTGCAGTTAAGCTTCCCAGTGCCTCTGGCTCTGTTTAGTTATGCTTCAGCCTGTGATTAAGTGCTAGTTTCCTTACAATTCTCATGAGTAATTTGAGTTCTTTACTGAAGACAAGGAGGTCCTTTTTACTGTGCTTTGCTGTCTTTTGTGCCTGTTTTGCCTTATTTTCTACTTCCATCCGTGTCCTCCCTAGCTAAACATGGGAATAGCAGAGAAGGAACCTGCCTGATGCAGATGTTGATGGCAGCAAGAGGCTGGGTTTGTGGTGTGACACTGCATGAGAGGGACTGGGAAAAGGGGGAAACAGGTAGGACTCCCTGGGACTTCACTGTCCAGGAAGACTAAAATTGCCTAAGAAAAGAAAAGTAAACAGAAAACTGCTGCTTAAGGGCCCTGGGATTGATAATCATTTAAACAAGGGAATAGGAGCAGTGATGGAGGAGCCAGACCACAGGGAGGAAAAAGGTGGGTAAGGGAATGAAGTCAAGAAGTAGGGGAGGAAAGGAAATTAATAACCTGGGTCTGGGTGAGGACCAGGGCCACTTAGATAAGGTCTAGGAGTTGCTAAGGAGATGAGTGTGGGGCAAAACAAAATCAAGGAAGAAGGTAAATGAGATCAATGAACAGAAGGGGAAGGTAGATCAAGGTGCAGGTAAACAAGGAGACCAAAGCTGGAAGCTGGTGTAGGAAGGTGAGCAAAATGTAAAGCCATGACTCTAAGATGTTCTTGGTAAAGGGCTTGGGGTTAAGAACAGACACTTTTTACACAGCAAAGATGAACAATGTGAGGAGAAAGAAGGCTGGCAGAGGCAATAAAGGGTAGAGCAGGGCCCATTGCAAAGTCGAGGAAAACTTTCCTCCAGAATTTGGATTAAAAATTAAAATTCTGGTCCTCACCTTTGTGCTTGGCCACTGTCTTGCCACATGTCCTGTTCTTCCCCTTTTGCACTAATCCATGTAGAAGGATTTAAAAGCATAAAGCCTAAGGAAGCTTTATTAGTTCAGGTGGTCTGTATAGTGCCTGCAAAAGCTAAGCTGTTTAATGTAGGGTTTTTAATCCACTTTTTTTATTTATGAAATTAAAGAAGCTAAATAACTAAGTCCCAGTACATAATTAAGGTTGTCTGCAAGACTGAATCTGCATTCTTGCATCATTAATTATGATGCAGCTGTTAACTGCATGTTCTGGTATATGTCTTTGTATTTGGATTTGTTTGTTTTTACATTTTCACATTTGATAATGCATGGAACAACAGGATGACTTTTAGTAATTGAAATGGTTTTTCATTCACTGTCAAGCAATCTTTAGGTACCTTGGGTATCCATTCTTTATCTGATTGTGGTAGTATCAAGCTGGCAATTATCTGTTTCAATACAGCTATTTCACCCAATAATAATAATAATATTTTCTAGTGTAAAACTTGCATCTGATTTTCTCAGTGGGAACAATTAGTCTGAAATTCCAGAAATGATATCATAACGTGTGATAACTGAATAGTTTCTCCTTCTCATGCAAATTTAGGTCTGAGAAATAATTTAAAGTGAGCTGTTGTTTATACACTGGTTGTTGGGGGGGTTTTGTTTTGGTTACTTTAGGTTAAAGGAACTATTTAAAAGAAGTGTCTTTTTAAACTCACTGAAATTATCACAGGCTCTAGCAGAAATGTGAGGTACTGTGCAGTCACTGCAGGGGAGATAGGAGTTCTCTGTAGTTGGTGCTCACTGGTAATGAGCTGTAATGGTGATGAGATGTGCAGAAAGCCTGTGGTTCTCTGAAGGAGCTGAGTTAATGGTGTGTTGGGAAGTGTGCAGGGGCTGACCTGCTGGACTGTGGGAGAGGAGCAAGGACTGATGGCTGACGGGTGACTTCTGAACCTTGCCTTACAGAAATCAGGAATGGGAATCTAAAGGCCATCTTGGGCCTTTTCTTCAGTTTGTCTCGATACAAGCAACAACAGCAACAGCCACAGAAACAGCAACCACACCACCATCCACCCCAGCAAGCTCCCCCAGCGTGCCAGCAAGCAGGGCCCCCATCCCAGTGCCAGGTGGGGGGACCTCAGCAGCAGGTGCCAGCTTCTCTGCAGACTCCGTGCCAACAGCCCCCGCAGCCTGCTCAGCATCCCTTCAAAGCACAACCAGAAATGCAGTCAAGGTGGGGAAATTTCCTTTACATTGTTTATTTCTTTATTTCTTTCTTCTCATTAAAGGTCTTCGAAAGCCAAAGAAACTTCTTTCTTTAACTCTAAAGTGTGTGTTGGAAGTTGACTGCTGGCTAGCAATTGTCTTCATGCCTTTGGAAATCAAAACTAAACTGCTTAAAGATGTTTTCTGTGCTGGAGACCTGCAGCTCAGTGAGTGTAAAATACCTGCTAGACCAAGTCACCACAGTATGTTATAAGGATGCTTTTCTCTCTATTCACAAAGCACACGTGTCATTGCTGCTACAGTTTATATGTTTTGGGCTTGTGAAAGCCAACTTTGGTTCTCAGTTTACAAGATTTTCAGTCCTAAGACATGGAAGGCTCTTACAGTGGTAAAAGAAATAGAGCTCCTCATGGCTGCTGACAGTCAAAATCAGATCTAGGCTTATGGGTCACAAATAATGAGCTGCTGGCTTACACAAGAAGTGATTCTCACACTTGGTGTTTGTTGGCACTCCTAGGTCAGAATGCAGATAAATAGAGGGAGTGTCTTTAATCCTTGGGGTGCTCTTTCCAGGTTAGAATAAAAGCAATTTCTGAAGGTAGCACCACCACGAGTGCAGGTACAGCTTTCTGCTTGTCTGACCCTTCCACTAAGAGAGGGAGGGTTTTAATGGCAGGATTAAAGCCTGGAGCCATATTTGCTTCATACAGAACTATGAAGGCTCATTTTTAGTATCTCAAATTAAGTTAAAACTGATTTGTGTTAAAATAACACATATTAAGGTGAACACCAATTTAAGTGCTGCTACATGAGGGAATATAAACAGTTTAAATGAAGCCTTCCAAGTGAGACTCCTCAGAGCTTATTTGGTTTTTGCTTCTGTCTTCATGAATTTTGCCCACTTCAGGTTTTAACTAAATTTTCCTATAATTGAAAAACATAGTGTTGCTACAGCATGTATAAACTTGCAGAGGAAAGAATTACTGTAAAACAAAGATGTATTTGAGCATATTTCTGCAACTTTTCTGTCAAAAAAACAGAGAGATGCTTGGAACCATTTGGAAATTGCTTGAATATTTTCAGTCCATTGTGTGGATTGTGCTGGGCTTCAGATAATTTAAAAATATCTAACCTGAAAGGCTTAAATGCCATGTTTCCTTAGTATGTAATAAAGTGAAATTGTTCAGAATCTGCAAAAGAATATCTATAACAAGACTGGGAAGGAGAAGAGTAATAAGGTTGGGGTCTGCATGCAGAATCTGATGTTCATTAGTCAAGAAAAAATAATTAACTTCTGATTTTGAGAGTTCTGACATAAAGTTAGGCAAAAAACTTCCTTTTTCCTGTGAAATTCGTAAAAACTCTTTCCTCCCTAAAAACCAGTTACTAAGTTCAGTGGCTTAAAAAGAAAAAAGTTTCTTTGCTCAATGTTATCTTCCACTTTTTCTTTCCTGTCATACAGTGCATCTCCCAGGGACTCATCTCAAAGCAAAATCATCCGATTCACTCTTGGTCAGAAAAAGTCTTCTAGGTTAGCATTATCTTCATCTTCTGCAAAGCATGAATAATCCTTCTGCAATATTCCTGGATGCATGTTTAGGGTTCCTGTTGAAAACAATGTGTAACTAGGTGTTTTACAAACAGCTGAAATGTGGGATGGATTTTATTTGCTTTTCTTTCAGGGTGTGCATTTTGTGTCATTTTCGCCCGCAAGAAAATAATTTGGTTTTCTTGTCCTTATGAGCTTTTGCTTTTGAGAAGAAAACATGGTTCTGGGAGTTCTCTCCCCACTGTACACATCTCTATTAGTTGTATTTAGATCTGTGTTATTTGAGTTAGCATCAGGCTAGTGTCTTGGCTAGTAAGGAAAGCATCATGTGAGCCCAAACAGCACCATCTGGGTCTGTCTCATCAGAGCTCCTGCACTCCCCAGGGCTCTGAAACTGAGCCCAGCTCATCTCTCTGGAAGTGATTCACAGGTATTTCAGTCAATTATTTTCCTGAATCCCAGCATGAATTGCAGGCCAGCTTGTTTGACCATCTCATCTCAGTGATCATAAGGGTTACTGTGTTATTGAAGTGTTTATTAATAATGTTTACTTTACTACTATTTTTTTTTTCCTAGGAATTTTCATATAGTTATATACTGGCAACTTTAACATTTTTGCTAAGCTTCTGAACAATTATGTATGATTTTATGCTTGGCAAGTCTGTATAGACTGTTAGTTCTGCTATATAACTTGGATTTATTTCCCCCATCTTTGGGGGGAGAAATATTTCTTTTATGACAACAGTGAAGGTCTGCTGTATAACCCCTGCTAAAATGTTCCATGTTTCCTTTTCATGTTCCCTCTTGATCATAATTAGAGCTTGACAGTTTCTTTTTGCCCAGAAGAGGTGCTGAAGAGCAGTAAAGGAGAATGTTCTCTAAGCTCAGTACCTTGTCTCTAACAGAAGAACCTAGAAACTTCTCCCTGAACCTGTTTTTTTCCCCTATATTTCACGGGCACTGCTGTGAAATAGCTTGGCCTAATACCAAAAGCAGGGACTTAAATTACTCAGTTAAACTACAAGTGGAAAACCAAAATCTAAGAGCAATGATGTCCTTTTCAAGAGTGCTTTTAGCATATATTTTTTTTGTTGTCAGTATGTTTTTATTGGCAGTGACAATAGTGTCGTGACTGGAAAACTTGTCACTTCTTGAGCAGTCACATGGTTTAAGTAGCTTTATTTATTTTTAAAAATGTGACAGATTTGCAAAAACTGTGTGGGCATGTGTGAGGAGCCTTCTCTTACCCATCAGTACAGGAACATTATCCCTTCCCTCCTGCTAAGCCCTTCTGGAAAACTCTCCTCCTGGTACTGGGGGCTCTGGTAGCCTTCCTGCAGCAGTTGATACATACTCACAATGTTTTATCACTGGGTAGAACCTTCCAGCTGAGGTATCTTATGTGTCCTTCCTACCTGTAAGAAACCTAGCTCATTTTCTATTGAGCAAAACAAACTCTTAATGAATCTACTTGATGACCCCCAACTTCTCAAGAGCAGCAGTTGTTATGAAGCATGTTTGTCCCCACTTGACCTCTGCTTCATCCCATGTAGTCTCCTCTACAGTGGAAGAAGCATCTCTGGGGTGTTCTCATTTACTCCTTGCTGCAATGATGAGTAGGTACAACTTTCTATCACCCCCCAGCATTGAAAAAGGCTGGGTAAATTGAGAAGCTTGTCTAAAAGGCTTCAGCAAAATCAACCTCAGAACCATGATGTGCTGTGCCAGATCTGTGGTGGTTTGAGTTTAATTACATTTTTGGTTCTGCATTTGAGTCATGCCCTTATGCCTTACTCTCTTTTGAGCCTTGAAAGCATGTGCATGCAGCTGATGGCATTCTTGCTCTTTTCCTTCATGTTTCCTTTTCTATTCCTTATTTCTTCACTGCTCTTGGAAAAGTCAACTTACTTAAGAAGAACTGCCAGATTCCTTCCTGGGTTCTCTTCCTTCTCATGGGCATAACAGTGATTTGGTTGGTTGCATGCTGGGATGGCAACTGGGCCTTCATTTTAACCTATTGTCAGCACAATTTATTTAGGACAATTAACTTTTTGACGTTCGATATAAAGAAGTTTCACAGAGATTCTGTAACACACAGAATAAAATGTTGGCAAAGAGTGATCCCTTCTGTAGATGGCATGGACTGGGTCTACCTTTCAGTCTGTAATGGGATGGCCTTGCTTTTCAAAGCAGCTGTTTCACTAACTCTTCAGAGTGCATTTTGAGCACCTGCCAAATTTTGCAGGTTTTAGTATTTTGACTATTTGGAAGGTAAAAATATGTGCTCATTAGTGCACAGAATACAGTACAAACATGGAATCTTTATGCAGAGACCTTGGCATTGAAGCAAACAAACACACATATTGTTCTGAAATGTGATGCCAGTGGCTTTCCTAATTCTGTCAGGCTTTGCAGAAAGCCTTCCCCCTCCCCTTCTGCCTGAAAGCATGAAAGCAGTATCCCTTCCTGTCTTCTTCCTCCAGAATCCTAACTACATTTTTTTTCTAAGGAGACAGCTCAATCTGGTAAACAGTGGCTGTGGTAAGGAAATGCTGGAAGAGATTGACCCAGTTTAAACCGGAGACTTATGATAATGTGGTCACCCTAACAGGGGGGACTTCAGCTTTGTTTGATTTTTTATAAACTCAAATAATGAAACCAAGTTCAAGTTTTACTGGGCTTGGCTGGTATTGGCAGGATTTGTAGCTTTCAGAGCAAGGATGTGATGTGCTTCTTTCCAAGGGAAAAGGCAGCCATGTTCTGTCTCCTTGTTATTTCAAAAATAGGGATAACCCTTATGTGTCCAGCATATAATGTAAGTGTCCAGGAGTCTGGTTTAAGAACAGTGTCTCACTTAGTCTTAGCCTTGCACTAGTGGTGTCACTCCACTGATTTCCTTGCAACTATTTCAGATTTACAAGATTTATGGCAAGTGACCATTATTTTTGGTTCAGGGTTGGTTTTTTTTCTGACATCAACCAGTTCAAACTGTAGCTTGTTTGCCATCTCTTTTTTCATCTAGGATGTTATTTTATTTGCTCTTATAAAAGAACAAAGACCCTGATGAATGTGTGTATGTGATGGTGTTCCTTTTCTTTTCAGCTTCTGCATGGTATTCAATAGTTTCTTTCCCAGAGTGCTTTTGAAATGTATTTAATCATGTTGTAATTCTTTCATCAGACTTCCAGGCCCCACCATGAGGGTGTCCACTGCAGGCAGTGAGGCCAAAGCTCGTGGTTCTATCAGTGCCAACAATCGACGCAGCCAGAGCTTCAACAATTATGACAAATCCAAGCCTGGACTTCCCCCTCCAACACCAACAGGCAGCAATGACAAAGGTAAGCACCTGAGATTTTGGCATCCTCAGCTTTTTCTTCATAGTGTCTTTGCTTGGAGGAATTTGAATTTTTCATTAAGCTCCAGAAGCTGTAAGGCTGTCTCAGAGCTGGGTGTTTACAGTCTAAAAACCATCTGGCTTTTCCTGAAAACGGTATAGTCCTTCTTCACTGTAACTGAACTTGTGAGTTGCTGTCCTGAAGGTACGTGCAAAAATAGTTTCCAGAAAACCTGGCACTGGTGAAACATGTTGGGTTTTTTTATTTTGCTTCACACACATATAAGGCGAAGTGAATGAATTAAAAAATAAGACGAGTAGTTTGACAGGAATGGAAAATGACCATAAAGATTTCTTCAATGTTTTAATATGATTAATATTACTTTTTGCTTTCCTTTCCTCCACTGTTATGGAAAGCCCTTTAAGTTACAGAAGTATGTGATTTAAATCTAATTTCAAGAATCATACAGTGGAGGGTTTGAAGGCAGGAAGGTATTATAGGTTTATAAATGTTGCAGTAAAACTGTGTCTAGGGCAGTGCAGAAATGCTCAGGACCCTGTTCTGTCTAAAGAGCTGCTTTTTGGAATGACATTTCCTGACTTTGTGTCCATTCACCAAGCTGCTAATCTGACAACATTAATTAACTTGAGTTGGTAGCTCTGAGCTTTGTAACACAGCATTTACCAGCAGAGTTTTGGGGGATGTGACTGGTGGGAAGTGAGCAAATCATTCTAGGCTGATGTGGCCAAACTGGTGGTGTAGCCTGGCAGCTAATTCTGCCTCCTTAACAAAGTCATTGCTCTTATGAAGAGAAATGAGCACTGGATTTCAGTATGATCTTACAGTCTCTTGGCAGGCATGCCCTTCAGGCTCAAGTCTCCTTGTTGTATGTGCAGAACCTCTATTAACAGTGATGAGGATTTTACTTGAGGGAAAAGTACTGGTCTGGTTCACCTTGCCTGTGGTTCTCATGCTTGCTTCTTTTCAGGAAATTGTGTGTTTCCTACTTTAGAAACTGTGTGCCATTAGATTTTGGAATATTACCCCACTTAGCCATTGCAGCCCAAAGCCTCATCTGCTGATGAGGGCAGTGGAGGGTCCTCAGCATCCTCCAGAGAAATTCTGAGTCACCCTGATCAGACCTTGTATGAAAAGAAAATTGCATTCAAAGCCAAGTCATATAATAATAATGTTTGTATTATAATATATTAGCATAATATGCTAATAAATTAACAACATAGGACCTTCCCAAATCCATGCTTACTCTTTTAGATGGTTCACTATGTAAACAATTACGATTTAACTGTAACATCAGAGTGTGACAATCACCTCTCAGTCTGAATTAGATCTGTCTTTCCATTAAACAAACAAGCTGGCAAGTTATGACATGAGCAGTAGAACCACTGAAACCTTGTTTTCCTGTGTAATATCTCCCTAGTCTCCCTCTGTCTCCTCCTGCTCTCCTCTTCTGCTCATGTCCCATCACCCAGGAATTGGGGTGACACAGTGTGGGATGTGTCTAGTCCTGAGGCATGTGTTGGTTGGCCTGATGATCCCTACCTGTGTGTGGCTGGGATGTTGTTGGGTGACATTGACAAGAGAACTTGAACTGTCTTGGCTTTTTCTCAATTTACTAAGATTACTAAATAAGGAAAGTGAAGCACTGGCTCCAGTCTTTAAAAAAAACCCTCAAAGAAGATAAAAGTCCTCAAACATACAGAGAAATTACAAGAATTTGTTAACTGAGTAACTTAAATATCAACTGTTTTTAGGCAGACAGTTCTACAATCCCTCATTCCTCATTGTAACCCATCTCTGGAGAAAGATAAGCTGGTAGCTGAAGAAGCATGTGAGATCATCTGCTTCCTATGAATGTTACAAATGCCTGAAAGAAACAAGGTTTTTAGGTTGACAGTCTACATAACTTGCATTAAATACTCAAACTTTTGCTCTGGTCAGAATTTCTGGTCATAAATTATGGTCTTAAAAAAAATAAAAAATGAGGGCTTATGTAAGTTGAACTTGAACTTTAAAATGACACAAAGTTGGTCTGTATCCATGAGAAACAAAAGCAGTTGGTCTGACAAATGTTTGGCTCATTTTAAGTTAATTGTAATGTTGCCAGGCAAAGTTTTATTGTCAGAGTACTAAGACAATTCCAATTTTCTGACCCATATCCTGTATTTTGCCTGAGGAAATGAGACTTACATGATGATGTTTTGTGCCAGTCTTGGTAAGTTTTTTACCCAGTACTAGATATATTGTGTGGTTTTGGAGGAGGAAATGGGAGAAAATCTGCCTGTTTTGGCACGAGTGGTCACTTTGTGGTAGAAGGTGGCCTTCTAGTAGGTTGTATTTTTCAGCTTTTATTAAGCTGTGGCCTTTCCTTCCAAATGTGAATTGTCTTATTAGTCAATCATCTGTGTCTTGTGGCAATCAAAGTGCATTCATTGATACAGAATAGATCAGGAATGAAAAGGACAGTACATGGAGCATGGAGGAAAAGCTGGCTCCTGGAAAATAAATTACCTAGATTTTTTTGAATGGTTCCATTAATCAACTAATTATGAGATTACTGGTTTTCTAGAAAGGTTAGATTTAGATAACATTGAAAATTACACTGTTGCATAAAAAGAAATCTTTGGATGTGTGCATGTTTCTTGTGAGATACATACGTGCTTGTAGAAAGAAACATATGAAAGAATGCAAGTCTGGCTTTCCCACAGCTTGCATTGGGTCTTTGGTATTGTCTCTAGGCATCTCACCAAGGATGAGGGGGTCAGTAAGAACAGTCCACATGGTTTTACCAAGGGAAAATCATGTTTGATCAACCTTGTAGCCTTCCGTGACGAAGTAACTAGGTGGACAGATGCTGGTAGGGCGGTAGATGTGGTTTATCTTGATTTCAGTAAAGCATTTGGCACTGTCTTCCACAGCATCCTTGTAGATAAACTGAGGAAGTGTGGTCTTGATGATCAGGTAATGGGGTGGATCATGAACTGGTTGAAAGGAAGAAGTGAGAGAGTTGTGGTCAATGGGACAGAATCTAGTTGGAGGTCTGTGACTAGTGGAGAACCTCAGGGGTCGATAATGGGACTGGTACTATTCAATATTTTCATCAGCAACTTGGATGAGGGAGCAGAGTGTGCCTTCAGCAAGTTTGCTGATAACACCAAACTGGGAGGAGTGGCTGAAACACCAGAAGGCTGTGGTGCCATTTGGTGAGACCTAGACAGGCTGGAGAGTTCGGCAGGGAGAAACTTGATGAAACTCGCCAGTACAGGTTGGGGGCTGACCTGACCTGCTGGAGAGCTGTGTAGAAGGGACCTGGGGGTCCTGGGCAGGAGGATGACCATGGGCCAGCAATGTGTCCTTGTGGCCAAGAAGGCAAATGGCATCCTGGGGTGTATTAGAAAGGGTGTGGTTAGTAGGTCAAGGAAGGTTCTCCTCCCCCTCTATTCTGCCTTGGTGAGGCCACATCTGGAATATTGTGTCCAGTTCAGGAAGGACAGGGAACTGCTTGAAAGAGTCCAGCACAGAGCCACAAAAATGATGAAGGGAGTGGAACATCTCCCTTATGAGGAAAGGCTGAGGGAGCTGGGTCTCTTGAGCTTGGAGGAGACTGAGGGATGACCTCATCAATGTTTACAAATACATTAAGGGCAAGTGTCAGGAGGACAGAGCCAGCCTTTGTTCAGTGATGTCCAGTGATAGGACAAGGGGCAATGGGTGCAAACTGGAGCATAGCAGGTTCCATGCAAACATCAGAAAAAACTTCTGGCTTCCCAGAAAGGTTGTGGAGTCTCCTTTGCTGGAGACATTCAAAACCTGCCTGGACGTGTTCCTGTGTGATGTGCTCTGGGTGATCCTGCTCTGGCAGGGGGGTTGGACTAGATGATCTTTCGAGGTCTCTTCCAACCCCTAAGATCCTGTGATTCTGTGATTTTATTTTACTTTCTCAGTACTTACATGCTGTCCAAGACCAGTTCCCAGATGTGGAGAAGAGATGAGCCTTCTCTAGCAAGCATGGCCTTAGACATTTCCATTCCTATGGACAACTTCTTTGAGGTCAGGGCATGAGAGGTTTAACTTGCTTTTTGGATTTAGCCCCACAGTTTACATGCAGAATTCCTTTCAAATGTATAGGACTTTCAGTGCTGTCATGCCTCATGTCATTAAATGGTAACTCACTGTGGTACATTTATTTTTTCATTTCTTGTCACAGTAATTAGCCATTTATAATTGCAGTAACATGCTAGGCAGGGTATTTTAATGTGTGTAATTGCTGTTATAGGTTTTTTATTCTTAAGAGAAATGCAATTAAAGTCTAATTGCATTTTTTGATTGTGTGGAAATAAGAAGCCAAAGAGGCTTCTGATTTTTTATGTCTTCATAATCCCTTCATACAATTGGAGCCTTTTAATTAACTTCTGAATTGTCAGAATGTAGTCCCTGTATATGTGAGTACACCCTTGGCTTGCTACCTTGTGCTTTAATATCCTTTAACAGCACCAGCATGAAAAGCATCAACTGCTTCCTAAGGTTGCTACTGAACTCCTCTAAATTATCAGAAAACATGTCTAAGGAATGTAAAGAAGCTAATGAGCTTTGCATTTCCATGCCTATATGTAAATTATTAATTACTAGTTATCTTGAGGCTCCACGTTGCCATGTCTTTCTCATTGTCTGGTATGATCACCAAATAAAACCAGCAAAAATTGTATTTGTCTGTGCAATTCAGAATAAAGAAAGAAAGGGTTTTCGTCCATGGCAAGAAGGAGGAATGAAACTTAAATACCAGAGTGTGCAACCTCAGTAAAGATTTTAATACACTAGATTTCTCATTAATTTATTTCAGTGTTTTTTTTAGCTACACACAATGGAGGGTCTTTTGAGACCTGCTTTGAGTGCAGTCTGCAGTTCTGAAAAATGCTGGGTGTTTCTGACTGCCTCTGTACTCCCTCACATATCCCGTCTTCCCTGATCTCCAGGCACTCTGTTTG